GCCATCCACCGGAAACGGACCCAACCTCACGAGCACTAATACTCTGAGTCGGCCACTCGCGGTCTACAGATTCGTGTTCTTCATAAGCTAAGCCTGACCCGTAGCTTCTAATCCAGCCTGGTCAAACAACAGCGGCGGCGCATCCCTTTCCCGCTATTTTAAAACTGGGTCCGGTCTCTCCCATGCCTTTGATATAACAGAACTTGCGGCGGCTGGCTGTGCCTACAGTCTGACCGCGCGGAGCAATAGCTGGCGTCTGTTACTCACCGCATCGGCCCCCTCCGGGTAACTAGGTGCTCCGCCATTCTGGTGTCCTCCTTCGTCCCGCTGTTGGAGGATGTCCTCCAAGCCTTCTTGGCCTCCGCCGCGCGATTGCTCGCGCTCTGCCATCACTTCGCTGTTACTGGCGACCGATATGCCAGCAACGTCAAATCGCCTTATCTACTTTACTATTGAGCTGGGTCCCGAATACAAAGTAAGTCACTATTTAAACAATTCAAAATCCCCAACAGACGACGTTCTGACTTGCGCTTGCTTGCACGGTTGACTGGCGAACTAGCGTTGTCTGGATTCAGCGCTTTGTTCCCAGCTAATCTTTGTAACGCACTACCGTATCAGTCACTGTCCTCTGGCCAATTCCGGTCTGCTCCTCCCGCGCCGCACTTGCCGTACTACACTACAGGACGAGCACTTAATCAACATGCATTACTTACTTACACATATTGTTACGGACCAACTAGCCAACTATTCGTTATCTTGTCCTTACTCGTAACACATATGCATTCGCAAAACTTGCATCACGAATGGAATCAGTCACTTGTGTGTGGCGATACGCTCGCGTTAAAAGTCGCCGCGTACAGTTAGCGTTAGTTGCTTAAGCTAACACACGGCCAGCCAAAATTACTCAGCAGCTCGTTCGCATGCATGCGAATGAAGATGATGTGCGTTAGGTCATACGCACAATCAGTGCGCTATCAGTGCTCAAACTTGCGCCAATTCGCGTTACCATCGCCTTCAACTCGCGTTAAAGCCTTGTAACGCCCCTAGTGGTGAGAGGCACAGGGCTGGTTGAGACACGTGCACCCTGCAGGGAAATTCTCCAAACCTCTTGCACTTGGCCAGCTGCAGCCACTGCAGCAGACTTGGAATCCAGTGCTGCCCCAGTGATGGCCCTCATCTCAACCATCCCTTCACTCTCAGGTCAACATTGCTTGAGGTGAACAGACATATACTCCTTGATCTGCTTGACGACCTGCGTGATATGCTGCTCCTCACAGACACAGACACACACACACACATACGGGAACGGCAGAGCCTACACTGGGCTTCGGGGCAGGCTACAAATAAATGTAGTTCATTTATGTTGCATGGCCGGGAAAAAAGTCCACCGGAAGGAGGCGAATCCTGGCTATCTAGATCTGGCCGCCTTCCTGCCTGTCAAAATAGTAGGTATAAATGGCTTAAGTGCACTTATACCCCTACTTCTTTTTGCAGAAGTCGCACCCACTCAGGTACGTAGCTGCGCAGGTCGGAGACAAGTTCTCGGTCCGACGATCATGTAGGTACGGCTTCGTGGTAATGCTTGTGTGACACACGTGCGATGCTGATGGCGGGTGGATTCCGGTGCAACAGGCTGTCGTGGTGAACTTGAGAAATAAAAAGACAAAACGCGAGCCAGCTACCGTCGCTACGCTTTCGCTGTTGGCAGTTAGTTGTGATGATGCCAGCCGTCCCTTAAACGTTTCTCCCATTCCTCCAACGCGTTTGGTCGCATTAGGTTCGTGGCTATATGGCTCACCACGCAGCTACAGAATTGCCGCTCCTGATAATTATAATAATTATCATTACAAATCTCCCCTGCTGTCATGTACTGCTGCGTGTACATCGCGCTCAGAAGCCGGCCAGCCTGAATCTAATTCGTTTAACTTTGTTCCCACCCTAAACTGATTTGACTGCCTTATTAATACCCTTACATGGCAGCTCCACATTCAACGATCACCTTCGCGCGCCCTCCATAAATGCATGATGAGCGCAACCCATCCAGTTCCAGTTCAAGTCGCAACTATGAAAAGAGACTGGTACACATATTCATGGTATTCGGTACCATAATTGAAACAAGGCTGATGAAAATATATAAGATTGTGTCGGGCATTTGGAACCACGCTGCCCTTTTTACTTAAAAGCTCAGCGCCCCGAACTGCTGCCGCCCGCCACTCCAGCAGCCAGAGCGCAGTTCGACTTCCAACTTCCGGAATGAACTTCCGTGCACAGGATTAAGGTACAACTGCGGTTGGTCGTACATATATGTACCTGTATACAAGAAGCGTTATTTACTTGTTAATTAATACACCTACGCTAGCTAGGCGGGGCTGAGAGGTATCGAGTGTCTCTGCAGCAGCAGCCACGAATTTGCCCTTCATTTACCGCCCATTATTAATTATCTCAGTTGTGTCACTTTCAAAGCTTGACCGGACGCACGAGAAAATTCAATCGTCGGTCATCGTCCATCAAATCGCCAGTATGGGATCGCTAATGATTTGTTTGTGCCTTTTGCTGGCGCTGTCGTCGTCAATATTTCGGCCAGTCCATGCATACAACGGTGAGTACTTTTAAGCGTATGATGTAGGCAGAGACCAAGCGTCAAATATCGCATCCGATAGGTATACTGCAACCAGCAACGTACAGTCTATCTGCTGACAAAGTCCAAACAGCGGATCTCGCCGACAGCAGCGGCAGATGAACGCGCTTGTGCATAAGCTCATTTCCTTGAGATACAAAACATTTACTTCGTCTGCCGCCGTACATTCACCGGCATTCCGTTTTCCTATTACGCATTTACTTGCCGCATGGTCACCAGGATGCACACCACCTGACGGTTGGTGCGTGAGCGTTGAAATGGAGGACGTCTTTAGGGTCCTCGATTGCGATGGCGATGGACTGCTGGACCTGACCTGTGTCAACAAGCTGGGCAACCGCTATGCGCTGCTTACAACTAGGAATTGCACTGGAGACTTTGCGGGCAGTGCGCCGGCCAATGTTTGCCCTAGAGTCTTTGCAGTTCCACCACCACCGCCACCTTCACCACCACCTCCACCAACGTTCACAGGTGAGCTCAGCCCTGGTCGCCGAAGCCCGGGCTTTAAGAATTGGAGCATTTATGGAGCACTCTTCTGTCTGAGCGGACATGCTGTGTATGTTGTAATATTGTCGTGCAACTGCATGCGGCATGCCGCCGTGCATGTGTACTGGTTTAAATCTTTAAAACACAGTGCCCTAGTATAAGAGCTAGGGTCGGGTCCTGTGTAATATACCAGGACACAAATAATATATGGTAAAAATCATTCAGGTGGCGGGTGTAGTAGCTGGCCAGCTGGCCACTGAAAAGGCCTCCCGAGATGCTGGTCAAGCGTTTCACGCGTATTTGTAGTTATTATGTCTGCCGTACTGTGTACCAGCCAATGCAACGGGACTTATGTTGGATGCAGTGGGAGGGTTTCCTTACTTCACCTGCACACGCACTGCTATGAATGGGCGGCAAGTGGTTGCCGCCTGACTAACCAACTAATCCCATCCCCACTCCTGCCGTACACCTTTTCGTTTCCCTCCATACACATTGGCTGCGTGCTTGGAAAGGTTGCACACCGCCTGACGGTTGGTGCGTGAGCGTTGAAATGGAGGACCTGTTTAGGGTCCTCGATTGCGATGGCGATGGACGGCTGGACCTGACCTGTGTCAACAAGCTGGGCAACCGCTATGCGCTGCTCACAACTAGGAATTGCACTGGAGACTTTGCGGGCAGCGCGCCCGTCACTATCTGCCCCAGGGCGTTTGCAGGTCCTCCCCCACCGCCGCCTACTCCCCCTCCCCCACCGCCGCCGAGATTCACAGGTGAGCTCGACGACCTTATTCCTCATGGCCTCGGCTCCATTCAGTATGCGGCGAATGTGTTAGTATGCTTCATGAGACACAAATCGATTGTGCCCCTGGTATATTAGATAGGTGTTTTCATGAGAAATCATCGTTCGTTACACACTACGGGTACCTGCAAGCAGTAAACAGCCGTCTTCAATCGGTAGGTAGGCCGGGTGAGGGCCGGCTACCGCGAAGGCTATCGCTACGGCCTTGACGCCTACAGCCTCACGGCAACCACCCTATGTAGCTACAAAACCCGAAAATCAGTCCTCCAAGCACTCGCGAACTCCTTAACTGGCACCAAGTGCCGTACCAACGCCCTTACGAGGGCACAACTCCTCTGAGTTCACAGAAAACCTTGGTTTTCTAGCGTTGCACTCAGAAAACCTTCAGTTATATCACTTCAGAAAAATACTTATCGGCAGATGCAAACACGGTGATATGCCTCGGGTACTACAATAGAAACCGTCTCTATCACTACTGCACGATCTACAAACGATGACACGTCTAACAGACGGAATCGAGGACCACCCTTTTTGTTTGTGTAGAGTCTAGCTGCTGTACTGGCTAAGGCTAAGACATCTGTGTCCCGGTAGCCGAATTGGCAGCTTCTGGTTGGGCGTATGAATTCACAGTCGTCGGCCTGGAGTGGCATTTGGGTAATGACAGACAGCAGCATGGCAGCTAGTCGGTCGGCATGCACGTCCAGACCAGCTAACAACAATGAACGCACACTAGCAACGGGCTAGACGGCTGTACTGGACAATTGGTATAATACGCCGCACACAATCAGATAGATGGCAGCAGTCAAGCCGGAATTGGAATCAGTCTGCTTTCAGAAGCGTCGCAGGATACGTCGATACATGGGATCGGCTGGGAGTTTTCGGGACCGGGGCCTATCAGGGTTGAAAGGTCCTTCTGATGGTGCCAGTAGGAGGTGAAAGTGACCCTAGTTGAGGGACGGTAGTGACCTGGGATAAAATAGTCCTGCGAGCTGAGCAGGAACGAAGATTAGCCGCCATTGATCCGGTAGGTTCCGTTAGATGCCGGTCTGATGGTAATGGGTGCTGATCCTGAGCGATCCACTGAGAAGTCGGCAAGGTGACTAGATGAGGATGGCCCAAAGTACCGAGGAAGGCAGGGTTTCGCTGGGTAGCGGCCACTGGTGAAGCTAAGTTCCCCTGTCCCGCACACCATATATATAGTTGTTGCATGTGTGCAGTAGTAGCCACGGAGTGGTGCCGCACGTGCAGCAGCGAGCGTGTGGCATCCGGGCATCAAATGTTGTATAAGCTTGACTATGATTGCTGGGCACTGTTCACGGTGAATTAATACATCTCGTTTACGATTGCCGTGGGTAAGCCTGTCTGGTTACAAATACAGTTGAATCATTGATAAGTGTCTGGCCGGTTGACCCCTTTGCACGCTCCCTAACCTCCCTACGAACACATTTGCTGCATGGGCAGGTTGCAAAATACCTTCTGGTTGGTGCGTGAACCCTGATATGGGGGACGTCCTAAGGGTCCTCGATTGCGATGGTGATGGACTGCTGGACCTGACCTGTGTCAACAAGCTGGGCAACCGCTGGGCGCTGCTCACGACTACGAATTGTGATGGAGACTTTGGGGGCAGTGCGCCGGCAGATGTTTGCCCCAGAGTCTTTGCAGTTCCACCACCACCACCGCCTTCACCACCACCTTCACCAACATTCACAGGTGAGCTCGGCCTTGGTGCCCGAAGCCGGGGCTTTAAGGAATGGACTATTTACGGAGCACTCATCCTGTCTGAGAGGACATACTGTGTCAAGTAGTGTTGTCGTGCAACTGCATGCGGCATGCCGCCGTGCATGCATACTGGTTTAAATCTATAAAACACCGTGTCCTGGTTTATAAGAGTTGAGGACGGTTCCTGTGTAATATACCAGGACACGATTAATAGGTGGTAAAAATCATTCATTCAGGCGGCGGGTGTAGTAGCTGGCCGCTGAAAAGTCCTCCCAAGATGCTGGTCAAGCGCTTCACGCGTACTTGTAGTGCCGTACTGTGTACCGGCTACTACATGGGGGGCTTAGGTTGGATGCAGTGGGAGGGTTTCGTTACTTAACCTGCACACGCACTGCTATGAATTCAACGGGATGACCGAAACCCGTTGGAGTTACAGTTGGCGAGGATATGTAAACTCACCTGGTTAAACAGTGGAGCCCAGTTGAACGGCAAGTGGCTGTTTGACTAATCAACTAATCCTACCTCTACCTGCCGTACACCTCTTTTTTCCTTCCAAACACATCGGCTGTGTGCATGTTCAGGTTGCACACCGCCTGACGGTTGGTGCGTGAACCCTGATATGGGGGACGTCTTTAGGGTCCTCGATTGCGATGGCGATGGACGGCTGGACCTGACCTGTGTCAACTACCTGGGCAACCGCTATGCGCTGCTTACAACTAGGAATTGCACTGGAGACTTTGCGGGCAGTGCGCCGGCCAATGTTTGCCCCAGAGTCTTTGCAGTTCCACCACCACCACCGCCTTCACCACCACCTTCACCAACATTCACAGGTGAGCTCCGTTCTGTACCCATGCACCGCGGCCTGTTCTTCAACGGGGTTTATACGGTACCTGCCATCTTGATGATGTATCCTCATGCAGTCGCCACGGACCACGCACCGCAGTGCAACTGCGTGTGTGCTGCATGGGGCTATCAAATGCAGTGAAAGGTTGACGTTGCCTGCAAATACAATACGCATCGTTGGAGGGGTATTTGTCATCTGCACACAGGGATAAGGGTAGCGTCCCACTCGCGTCCGTCGCCACATATAAGTTGCTGCCAGTGGCTAGCTGACCGATTACCTTCTCTGCACGTTTCTTGACTTCCCTACAAACGAAAAAAGGTTTAGGAAAGTCTTATCAAGGACGATGAACCTTGGTTACAATTCCTTATATTTTCCACATATGTGGTTTCCTGAAGTCGTACTTTAATTACTGGCATCGTACATATGACTCGGTTTCGTCCCAGGTTCGAATCTCAGTTGCAGCATTTTTGCTCGGGGATGTTGTCGAGCCCAGGGAGTATTGTCGAGCTCTCCTATTACACAGCAACCCTAAGGTCGAGATCGCCCTCTGTTGCTAGTGGGGGGATAATTGTAGTAACCTGGGCATATCACGGGATCTGCATCCGCCGATTGACACATTTCTCAAGCCGTGGTATAACAGTTTCCAGTCTCTCGCAATCGACCATTGGATAATTGCTGTGGTTGGACGTTCATTAACCGACCCACCTTCAGACGCCCTTTCAGATGTACGCCTGATGGTACCTGTGAGAGTGGCTGAAGGCGCACACATATCCGTCAGCGGGCTATGCAATCATTAACCGTGGTACAGAGTCAATTAAAAAGCGGGGCAATCCAAGCTACAGTCCCCGAGAAATGGGTGCCTCGACCCACATTTGAACCTTTATCCCTGCATCGTACATTCTCTTAAGGCATGTAAGGAATTGCGATTCCAGCGATCGCCCTATCTATTTTCTGCATGTTCAGGTTGCACTCCACCTGCCGGTTGGTGCGTGAATGCGGAAATGGGGGACGTCCTAAGGGTCCTCGATTGCGATGGTGATGGACTGCTGGACCTGACCTGTGTCAACTACCTGGGCAATCGCTGGGCGCTGCTCACGACTAGGAATTGCACTGGAGACTTTGCGGGCAGCGCGCCGGCCGATTTTTGCCCCAGAGTCTTTGCAGTTCCTCCACCACCACCACCTTCACCGCCACCTTTACCACCACCACCACCTTCACCACCACCACCACCAACGTTCTCAGGTGAGCTCAGTCCTGTACTTCACTGCCTGGCCTTCAACGGGGTATGGCTGGCGCCTTGTTATCTGTCTGGAGCTCCGTGCAGCAGTAGCCATGAAATAACTGCGTGCATGCGGCATGTGAATACTAGATACGGCGTAAGGTTGACATTGCTTGCCTGCTGCCTGCCTGCACACTAATCACAGCACGTTTACGAACAGACGATCGATGAGTGTACACAGATACTGGGGTGATCATGGACTGCAGCTTTCAATTAGCGGTGAACAAGCCTGGCTTGTCATGTGTGGGTACACCTCCACCTGTAAACGTAATTGGCTGCTGGCTACCCAACTGAATCATCCTCCGTTGCCTAAGGCACGCTTTATTTCCGATCCCTTTTCCCTCCCATCGTACCTGTCGTGCATGGTCAGGTTGCACACCGCCTGACGGTTGGTGCGTGAATGCGGAAATGGGGGACGTCCTAAGGGTCCTCGATTGCGATGGCGATGGACGGCTGGACCTGACCTGTGTCAACAAGCTGGGCAACCGCTGGGCGCTGCTCACGACTAGGAATTGCACTGGAGACTTTGCGGGCAGCGCACCGGCCGATGTTTGCCCCAGAGTCTTTGCAGTTCCTCCACCACCGCCACGTCCGGACGTACCACCGTCACCCCCCGCTCCAAGGGGCAAGAACGGTAGGCCCCCTGTCTGCAGGCGGTGCGCGCCTCCACCTTTCTAGCAGCTCCCATCCTGTTAAAGGAATGAACATACGCAACGTCTGGCTGTGAGCGAGGGGCGGGGAATGGTTCTTGGATCGCTGCCGAAGTGCGAGGGGTTGTCTATATTACCTCGGCTGCTACGGAAGAGACCATGGCCTAAGAAATGCAAGAATAGGAATTCTGTGCAACAGACAAGGATCCAGCCCCAAGCAGCAGAATTCTGCGGTTTACTTGGCTGTCCGAATGGACCTGCGAATGGACCGCTTGCTAGATGGTCCTTGTGTCGATTCACCTAAGATACTTTTGCTGAGCAAGCAAAATCTGCGGGTGTTGTTTATCCATTGCTTTACGAAAGGCGGGATAGTAGTCGGCGGGACACTGCTCCTCCCATTGGGTGCATGGCTGGCTTAGGATGGTTTAGGATGGCGTATACGTAGGATGGCTTAGGATGGTGTAGGATGGCATTTATAGGATGGTGCAATTAAGATCGGCGATACGGAACATGCAGGCATAGATTGGCTGTTGCTCGGTAGGCCGCTGCGGTAGCTGTACATATGCATGTACATAGTTCGGTGCACATATCGTCTACAATTACGCGCTAAGGCGCTCCGCCAGCATCTGTATATTGAGGCCTTTTCCGCGGCAAGCCTCTACAGCCGCTGCTGGCTGGCATCTGTTGCGTACCTGTTAACGAACCTCCTACATTGCACATACATCGCCGTATATGTTATGAACCAGGTATTCACCGCAGGATTGCTAACCCATGATGCGACACAGAGCTCGCTCGCTCGGGGTGTGTCGTACACTCATGTGTGGGCAGTGCGTGTATGGATGCGCGAACTCATCAACTCCGAACTTCTATCCTTCTAAACTTGTAGCCATGCATTTTTCCTTAAGTGATAATTGATGTGACGACGTGCGTGCGTATGCGTTGCATAACGCTTATGGCTGCGGACATTGTTATGCTAGCTATTCACGAACTAGAGCGAAGCTGTCGATGGATGCCATGATCTATATACACATTTAGATAGGAGAGGAAGGCAATGTATTGCTAGCCAGATAGCAAAGTCGACGTTTATTGGAAGTACGACCTGGCCTTGTTGTTCTGGCCTAGGAAATGGCCAACGATAATAAGATATTATAGCCTAGGAAATTCAGGAAGTATTATAAATAGAGCGTCATTTTCCAGTTGTCTATCTAAACAAGCTGTAATCTATTCGTACTTATTTGAGATCGATTCCTACCTATTTAAGACATGGGGATATGTGAAGACATTTTACTCTATCTGTCTTAATTACATACGTATATGTAAACCGACCGATATATATTTATCAACGCTGACGGCCCGAGGGAGTATCAAGTGATCCGCCAGCGTTCCCAGCATATGCTTCCGTGGCTAAGAAAGGCGCGTGCTTGATGCATCATATGACCACGAACCAAACGGCTCCCTTTCAGGTTTTCCAGCCGTACGTCTACACGCATGTAATATGCATATATAGCTTCGCGAAATTGAGGTTGAAAGTTTAGTATAACTAGACTTTTTTTCCTCAATTTACAAGAAAGAGGAGTGCTGAGCTGTGTAAGTTTAGTACTAAAAGCTACACAGCGCAGCCTCCGCTCCAGCATTGTCTAAGGGGAAGGTGTCCACCTTTGGTTTCCAATTCCCTTCAGGGGCAAACCCTAAGGTGACTCAAAGGAAGGAGTGTTGTGATATCGGTCAGACTTCCTGAACGTTTATGGTTCGTCGTTACGATAGGATTTACTGCGCCTGGACTGATTGCTTGTTGGGTCTTATCGTACGAACCTGATCGCCGAGTGCTATTTGTTCCCTGAAGCAGCAATGCTTCTTTAGCTGACTGTAACATCTATTGCTCTTCTGGACTTTGGAATATCCTTTGAGGTTGAAGCATAGTGTCAGCTCGCTTGTCCAGCTTGTGCTTAACTGGTCCGTTTATCAGCTATTTACAACAAGGCGAACTGCGTTATAGCTTCGGACGGACGCCTAAGGGTGTATTTCCAGTGCGGATTTAGGCCAGCGATTAGGGCACGGATGTCCTTGGTACGAACTTACCATATAGTTTCGTTCCATAAGGGAACCAAAGGTTGGAAAGGCGAGGTAAGTTTGCCAACAACGCAGGCGGCTGGCAAAGGATAAGGCCTGACTTCTGCTCTCGGAGTGTTCGGGTTCTAATCCGCCTGCCGACCTCTCGGGGTATTTGATCAAATACCCCTCATGAGGGGTGGTGAATTGGGAGGTGGCCCCCCATCGTGTGGACGGTGTAGGACGTGATAAAATCAACTTGCGAGCTGACCAGGAACTAAGTTGATGCGCCGTTATCCGCTAGATTTGGTTGGATGCTGGTGGTGAGTTGCCAAACTCAAAGAGTATACTCTGGAGTCGGATGGGGTGAATGGATTAGGGTGCCCCTCTAGCAAGGGAGAGCAGGGAACTGCCTCGGGACGGAGGCCACTGGTGAAGCTTAACTATCCTGTAACAACATCAACCTAGCCGTTTGAGCAAGTATCGATAGAGGACAGAGGGTTAATCCGCGACGTTAATCCGCAATATCACCTTAAATGTTTTGCCATGCTTTAATTAGCCACCTCTGGCTTCATTTGTAACGACTTGCAGCCTGACTTTCGCTAAGTATGTATATACTTATTGTTGTGGCCTATGGTTGGTCAATCTAACCAGTATGGTTATGTAATTAACGAATCCCAGCATATCCCAGTTGGATATCGAACGGACGTTCCAACGTTCGAGGCTGAGATCAAATGACAGGTTGTCGGTTGTGTAAAATGTGACAGTCGTCAGTCATACAGTCGCGTCGATCGACCTATCCTATCAAGGAAGGTTAAGAGAAGTCCCGCAGGGCTACGGTCACCAGCTACCGATCGTATATAATTCGGTGCGGATGCCTGGTAGGCATGAGTAGTCTAGCGCTGCTATTACTACTGGTGTCGTGGTCATACCCACCTCGCACCTTTACCACCTATTGTGGTCTGTTTTCCGCTGCTACATTTCGCTGTATTTTGATGCGTCTCAACCAGACTCACTACAGATTTGGTATCGAGACCCCATAGATCCATGGGGACAGCGGCAGTCCCTCATTCCGGGCCGCATTGATAGGGAGTGCGAATATTTCGCACGTCTGACTATTTCTCCCAGTAAGTAACTTCTTACTGCAAGTAAGTTGTTCGATTAGCTGTCCCGGTGAGCAAGATCCTACTGTATTGTAGTGAACGGGACAGGCGGAACAAACGACCCCGGTGGGTCACTCGACGTCGCTATGGCGTCAGGCTCCTCAGGGAACCCAGGTGGGTTCAATCTTGCCCCCCTTTCAGCAAGTTGCTGATGCTGCAGCTGCACCTGCTGCTGCTGCTGCCCCTGCAGCGGGTGAGGCTGGCGCTGCCGCTCCCCCGTTGGCACCCGTTGTGCCCGTGCCCGTCGCACCTGCTGGTCAACCAGTAATTCCTATTGCTGGAGCACCCGCCGCTGGCGCAATGCCAGACCCCGCACAGCCCGTTGCTGTGCCAGCAGCTGTTGCGGTCGCACAGCTCTCGGATGCGCAGATGGTACGTAACATCCCTGCGCCAAAGTTGCCTGTTGCAACACCCGTAGAACCCGACCGAATTCGTGCATTCGTGGCTGATGTTCGGGATTACTTTGTTCTTGTTGGCTGGCAAGCTAACATTCCAGCGCAAAAGTTGTTTATCAGTGGGGCTTTGGAGGGATTCTTCAAAGAGTGGCACATTACATGGACCAAGTCGGTTCCTGACTATACCCCAAATCAGTTGCTGGACGCCTTCCTGGTCAGGTTTGCCCCGGAGATGTACTCTCGCACGCACGTAGCGCGCACTACCTTCTATAGCGCTGCCTTTAAGCAAGAGCTTAATGAGTCAGTCCTTACGTTTGCTGGTCGGTTTGAAGCGCTACTTCAGGATATTCCTGATATGCAAGAACCAACTAAGCTTTGGCATTTCCGCGAGAAGCTATTGCCATACTTACGTGAAGAGTGCGCCGTACGCCCGACTGATTTCCAAGAGCATACCGTCTATGCCGAGTTGCGGGCACATGCGATGGGGGGTCGAAAAACAACATGCAGTTCGCATGGCTGTTCAACAGTCCGCTGCTCGTGTACGCTCTCATGCTGCTGCCCTACAGGCTCCACCTTCCTTTGCTGCTGCTGTGGCGGCACCCGCTCCAGTACACGCTGGACCTGTCCAGGCGCCGCCCGTCGCTGCCCCTATTCAGCCGGCCAACGCGGGTGCGGGCCGTGGTGCTGGAGGCCGTGGCCGGGGTGGTGGACGTGGTGGTGGCCCAGCAGGCCGCGTGGCCGGACGCAATGGTCCAGGTGGGGGTCGCGGACAGGGAGGCCGGGGTAATGTTAACCCGGGTCGAGGCCGTGGTGCCCGAGGAGGAGCCGCCGCAGGTCGCGGTGCAGAGGCTGCCGGTCGCGGTGCGGCC